TCCATGCCGAAATCAGCCAGGATTCACCGCAACGAGTTTGTTGAGGGTGCAATGCACGAAAGCAAGGCATCACCCTTATAAAATGACGCTGTATAAGCTGGCTGAATACCTGACAGCCACAACTGTCACGACAACCCTTATCCATGCACTGACGTATGTCTTTCTAAGTTACCAAATCTTTGCTGTCCGGCCATTGCTGGTTAAACTCCAAAACCTCCTGCTTTAAACCGTGATCTGTTTTGGAGCAGGAATGACAGACTGACTTAAATACACGTCTGATTCCGTTTCAATCCAATAATGGTTGTTATCAGGATAGATATATCCTGCTTTTTCATGCATAGCCGTTGACGGCATGCGAAATGCAATTCTAACTAAAGACCAATCGTCGCGACTTAAACAACAGTGGATTCATTGAAGGAGTGCTCTGATTAACGCCAGAATTAAAAGAAGAATTTTTAGGGTTGAGGCGATGGCTCTTTATTCAAGTCATCCATGGTCATAAACAGCTTTTCCTCCTAAAGGTAATTCACGCTCCCACAATTTTGCAACCTCAATCACCCGAGTCGATAGATTTGAATAATGGAAAACTGAGTGATTAAATTACGACAGATATTCTCTCAATGAGGCGCGTTTTTTGACCGTGTAGCAACGTATAAAACGATAAAAAATCAAGAGAATCCTGGCGGCCTGCAACAACTCATTATTCAGTGGAATAGTGATGAGTAAACAAGAAAATGTCTACTAATGAGTAAATTTGCTAATTAACCATGCCTGCAATAAACAGTGAAAATATTCCACGATTGCTACTTTCCTCTTAACGGTTGGTTCAGACCTGAACGTTAGGCATCTACAGTCAAAAACAGTTAAATATGCTTCTATTTGGAGACATTCCGTCGAAACAAATCAAATTCCAAAATGGCACTGCCTATTGAACATAACAATAACTATATTATCGCCTATATTTCATATGATTCATGGGGCTTCACAGGTCGAAAACTGGAACCACCCCCTCCCACTGAAGCTTAGAAGAGGAAGGACATATGCTTTGCGTCAGAATGTTGTAGTGAACAAAATTAGAATTATATAATTAAGCTGTTTTGTGGGCGGAGAAATGATGGCAGGGGTATCGTCGTGGTCAATTAATAAAGATGAACTTTTACCATTTATGGTCTAGTCTTTGAAGAGAAGTTGATATTTACGTTCATGAGGAACTGAAGGACTAAGAATAGCGATGGATGAGATTAAGCAACAGAACAATGGTGTTTTAGGCGACTTTGCGATGGCGAAAACCGAGAAACTCCAATGCAATTTGTTTGCCGCAAAATATTATATGCAGACCGTCATTCTCTTTTATAACTAAGGATAACTTCTATTTCAATGTATATCTATTCTGTTAACCTCTTTCAAATTTATCTTGCTGAAACTTATTTTGCAATGTGTAAACAATTATTGCAGTCTAAAGTTTTTAAGGCAGTTGAAAAACTTTCCTGGAAGAAATTCATATGTTAAGTCTGAAGGTTTTCTACTTGTATTTGTAATACACGGAATCAGTTATTAATAATAGGAGTAATTATGCTCAAAGAATAAATGAGTATTCTTTTATTATGCACAGAGCAATCGCAATTGCTTCATAATGACAAGTTTCCAATTATTGAGTAATTCTAATAAACCATTCTTATAAATTATATTCTGCATTAGTGTTAGCCTCTGCGGTAAGTAAACGCCTGATTGCAGCATTTTTTGCAGAACTGTAGAGTGCTGAAAATGATACTGATACGATATCAAATGCCTCAAACGACCGCAGTGCAGATAATCACCTGATGCCATACATTTGGGAATACTGGACGGTTGCGATAGTGCTGAGTTGATAAAGGCGCTGAGACCACAGAGATTCGTGGTTCGACCAAGAAACTACGAAACTTATACCACGATTGACTGGAGATATGACAACCTGAATGATGGGTATTATTTATGAGGATGGAGTTTGATGGAGACAACAGATAATCACGAAATCAGAGGCGTGTTAACAGAATGCAGATTTTATGAGTACAAATTACATGGGAAAATGAGAGGCCAAAATCATTGAGAACTCCTCGAAAAGGAAGCAATGATCTATATCATAGTATTTTGGTATTTTCATTATGTTAACGACGCGGCCACAGGATTTTGAGAAAGTCTGCTCAACGTAATTGCATTAATGAAACTTCGGCGATTAATGAAGAACAACAGAATTAACTATTTATGTCAGTGGTATGCTTTAACCTCAAGAGGCACGGAGACACAGAACCGAAAAATTGTTTAAAGACGGTTGAGCTCAAGACAACTCTATTTCTTTCGTCTGAGACACCGTTTTCTAAAGATGGAACAGGATGATGATGAAAGTCGTTATGTAGATTAGTAGAGAAATGTTAAAACATGACACAAATCTGAGCAACGTTATTCCGTCTGATTTTGTTAATCTTCACGGTTCAAGCCATGAGCAGAAAATGCAATTGTTTCTGCCTTTCTGACCGTGTATTATCCGGACCTTTGATTGGGTCCGTCTCTCAGTCGCCATCATTTTGTTCAGGTGGTTGCAGCATAATTAAAAATTTCGCTATATAATAAATTGTCAGTTCAATTGCCTTAGACATAAGCGAAAAATCATATAGTAAATTCCTAATCGGACTGGCAAACAAACGAAACGTTTTAGCCGATCAACATTGGCCATCCTCAAAACATACAGACGTTGCTTGCTCTGAGGATGAGCCAATGTTGTTTGACTAAAAGGTCATCAGTTCCATCCATCCATCCATCCATTCCTCAATTAATTGAATTTACCATCTGTCCTTTCGTTTGTGTCTAGCACAATTGAAGAAGGCCAAAATTGAAATTGGTTTCAAAGCTCATTTCACCACGCATTTTACGAGGATCATTATGAACGGTGGCGCGAACAGTTTCTCTCTATGTTTGTGATTCAGGAGTGTATTTCGAAAACATAGAACTGCCTGATCCAGACACCATTTTTTTGGCCTGAAAATCCTTAAAGGCTTGAAAGCGCACGCCTCCTATCTTCACCATGGCAATCAATCCATTGCTTTGGGGATTATCGATTGCAAATGAAGTAAACCCTAGGGCTGAATTCATAGAGAACATTTGATAATTAGCGTTCTCCATTTAAGCTACTGTGTATATTCATAAACAGTATTTACAATCATCATTTGCCTTTCTTCAAATCAGTTTAAGTTTTGTGACGAGTTTAATGCCGGATCAAAATTATACACATATATTCGATCTGTGCAAAAGCTCACCTATGTCCATTCCTGTGAAAACAACATGGTAGCTATGCACTTTCTTCTCAAAGGAGCTCTAGAAACAGCAGCGTTTTCCTTCGATTCATTTACTGAGCTCTCATGAAAAGGAGATAATGTAAATATATATCCGATTATTTTATTCACCGATAAAATTAAATTCATGCAATTTCGACATCTCTTTTT